GCCGGGCGGTGGTGGCGCACACCTTTAATCCTAGCACTCGGGAGGCAGAGCCAGGCGGATCTCTGTGAGTTCGAGGCCAGCCTGGGCTACCAAGTGAGTTCCAGGAGAGGCGCAAAGCTACACAGAGAAACCCTGTCTCGAAAAACCAAAAAAAAAAAAAAAATCAAAAAAAAAAAAGAAGAGATATGCTGCATATCCTACTGTCTGTGTTAAAAAAATTAACATTTAAAACATCCAGTTTTATGTAATTCAAAAACATATGTGTGAATAAGTCAATCAAAGGAAATCAAAAATGTTGAGCAGGAAAATAGAAGACAAGTCATGTGGGTAAAACATGAAGGGCAGGGCTGAGGGATGTCCCAGGTCTCAACATCACATTGTCAAATAAGGAAAGCAGAGGAAGCCAGAGACCAGGTTTGTGGTGGTGATGGAGGTGGCGGCGGCAGCGGCTCAGCCTTTAATCCCAGCACTTGAGAGGCAGAAGCAAGTGGATCTCTTGAGTTCGAGGCCAGCCTGGTCTACAGAGAGAGTTCCAGGACAGCCAGGGATACACAGAGAAATCCTGTCTAAAAACAGTTTAAAAGAAGGAAAGAAAAGAAAAGAAGAGAAGAGAAGACAGAGAAAAGAAAAGAAAAGAAAAGAAAAGAAAAGAAAAGAAAAGAAAAGAAAAGAAAAGAAAAGAAAAGAAAAGAAAAGAAAAGGAGGAAGAGAAAAGCAGAGGAGACCTCAGGACCCAACCTGCTTCAGCTGCCAGGAGAAGCAGGATTCAGGAGGGAAAATGCTCTTGTCAGTTATGGGAAAACTAGAACTTCTACCCCCATATCTTTGGATGAGCCAGTGAATGTTCAGAACCTCTGAGATCCAACAGCAAAGGAAATGAGGCTGATGTAGCTACAACGCAGACTTAATTATGGAAGAACACCACGGAATTCGGTAAAAATGCTGATACACAACAGAATGTTCCGTAAAGCGTCCACATGGAATCTTGGGATTCCCTGCATGCCTCGGAGAATGCATGGAAATTGCAGAGAATTGCACAGATTCTGGAGAAGGAGGCTGAGGATGAAGGAATCGTGATTGGGCAAATAACAGGACTGAATGAAAATGAAGACATTCCCACTCCTGGGTATGGATGGGTGAGGAGAGAGGTTTTATTGTAGACATGAAGGAGAGCACAGACAGAGGCATCTGGATGGGTCCAGACTGAACATGGCCAGCAGACTGAACCAGGCCATGGTGGGGGCAGGTGAGAGAGGAAGAGAAAGAGGGAGGCGAGAGGGGGCCAAGAGGACCAAGACAGCACATGGGAACCAAGACAGCATGTGGTCAAAATGGCTGCTTGTTATATAGGATCAGAAGCTGGGGGAAACGAAAGCAAAGCCCTGCCCCTGGTTGGAGACGTTGAAGGGAGGGGCGAGGTGAGAAGTGCTGGGAGGAGCCACGGGTACTGAGTGAGACTTGTCCCTGACAAGGACAAAGCCTGGAAACAGAAAGCATGTCTTCCAAAGCATGGAAACAGGAAGTGTGCCCTCGAAAGCATGGAAACAGGAAATGTACTCTCCAAGGCACAGAAACAGGAAGTGTGCCCTCTAACACATAGAAACAAAGCGTTAAACCTGAATCCAATACAGCTCCTCTTCCACTGGATACCAGGGGCAACAAGTCCCCACAGCCAAGCTGTCCCAGAACAGAACATCTTGGCAGGCGATAGACCAAGCCTTGTAGACATACATTCCCAGCATTCTGCAGGTATGTGCAAACCCTGAGGCCTCCACCCCTAGCCTTTCCAGGAGCCTTTCCCACACTTCCTTTCTGCTGGTTTCACTCAGCTGGTATCAATAGAGGGAGATCCTAAGCCCATCCCTGAAGGTCTACACAGAGACTCTAACTAGAGCCCAGTCCTAGAACTGAAGCCACCAGGCCCATGCTGCAGAGTGTGTGCTTCTCAGGGGAGTTCCATTATATTCCTACAGTGCAGGCAATGCACCATTGAGAGCAAGCATTAAAGACATGGCACCACCGGCAAGATGGCCGCCCATGCCAGGCTCAAGAACAAAACCTAGTGAGGGCACAAGGTACCCAGGTACCACCCACAGAAGGGTACAGGGAACTACACATCACAACTGAGCCATGAGCAGAGACAGCAACTACATACACTTCCGTACGGAAATGGAGGGAACAACAACCAGGGCCCCCAGACAGTTTGGATAGGACAGCTTGCAGGTAGACACAGGAATGTCAACACCTAGAATAGACAAGAGGTTCATGCCAGAAGCCCCATCACCCCTCCAAGAGGATTTTCTGCAGTTCTGTCCCTGAGAGCCAAATTCCTGAGAATCCCACATGAGTCACCATGCATGAGGAATAAACAAGTGGGTCAACAGCTATTGTGGTAGTCGGAATGTAATTGGCCTCCACAATCTCATAGGGAGTGGCACTATTAGGAGGTGTGGCTTTGTTGGAGTGGGTATAGCCTTGTTGGAGGAAATGTGTCACTGTAGGGGTAGGCTTCAAGGTTTCCTATGCTCAGGATACCGTCCAGTGTTCAATCAATTTCCTATTCCCTGCAAGCCAAGATGTAGCCAGCACCACATCGGCCCACACTTCACCTTGCTCCCCACCACGATGATAATGGACTGAACCTCTGAAACTGTAAGCGAACCACCCCCAATTAACATTTTCTTTATATGAGTTGCCATGGTCATGGTGTCTCTTCACAGCAATAAAAACCAAACTAAGACAACTATGTTTCTGATGTCACAACTCAGACTTACACACCTAGCTCATGGCTTCCAGCAGACATCGGGGAAGTCAAGGGTCTAGAGAAGTGATAGCTCAGAAAGTCCCCAGCAGCAGGAAACATGATAGGCAAAAGGCATGGAGATGGCGTGGCTGAGAACCCCAACGGCCTGCATCACTGAGAGATGTAACGTATGTGTTCACAGAGGCTTCAGCACCCCACAAATCCCCACCCACCCCAAGTGAGGTCACCCCACACAGCAACGAGACCCGCTGAGGAGAGGAGGGTGAGGTCAGTGACTTTTCACCCACAAGCTGAACTTTGTTTCCTAGCTCCCTTGCAAGCCAACCTCTGTTAGGCGTGGCGACAATGACTCACCCAGATCCATGATGCCATTGTGATGTCACAAGGAACAGAAGAAACAATTCCTACTGTTGTTTATCTCAGACCACACACACACACACACACACACACACACACACACACACACACACACCCCTCCATAGCCTAACACAAGGACTTTTTTTTTACATTGGTACAGGACACTGGAAAGCTCAAAGTACCCTGGCCTCTGTATGGACAAGTCTGTGAGTACAACCCAACCAAAAATTCCACACCCCAAGCTTTCCTCTGCTGTGTTCATAGCCAAACAGATGCCTCTACCTAGTGGTGCTGCAGGAAGCCCGGCCACCCAGATTTGTCCTCCACACCACTGAGTTTGGGCTGTGGATGGAGAAGACAATCGGACCAGTGTGGAGACCCACAGAGGTTTCCTCGTGAGAGCTGAGCTTGCTTTACCCAGCAGGGCTGCATTAAGGGACGGCTTGACCACGTGCGTGGTTACCAGGTGTTAGGGTCTGCACTTGGCTGTGCTAGGGGGAGGTCTTTTGCCCTATCCCTTAGCATTCCTATAAAAAGCCCTTTTGAGCTGGGTGGTGATGGCTCATGCCTTTAATCCCAGCACTTGGGAGGCAGAGCCAGGTGGATCTCTGTGAGTTCGAGGCCATCCTGGTCTACAGAGCGAGGTCCAGGACAGGCACCAAAGCTACACAAAGAAACCCTGTCTCGAAGAAGAAGGGAAAAAAAAGCCATTTTGAAGAGATAGAAGGGGCTGGTGGATATTGATCCAGATCCTCCCAAATGCTATCCTGTGTTTCTGTCTTCTCCACACTATCTTTCTATCTAAAAATTTCTTATCCCTCTCTCCTCAAGAGTACCCTGGGAAAAAGTGGGGGCTGGCCTCTCACAGACCAGTTCTCTTCAGCAGCTTTGGCCAAGAGCTGTCGTGCCTAAGAGGCCACAGACCTCTCTGAGAGGCCCCAGCACTCCCCAACATGTTCTTACTTCCTATCTGTCCCTAAGTGAGTCTCAAGCACTCTTCTTTCATGGTTACATCAACCATATTATTGCCAAACCGGTCCCAGTGGGCCTTTCCCACAGGACAGATGCTCTTCGTGGGCATACTGACAGAGACCCTGTACTTCCACCATTCTGTATGACATGTTCCCCAACAGGACCTGGCCATGTGCTGGCAACATCACCCTCATTCACACACAGGCCTCTCCACTCACCTGCACTCAGCTCAGAGGCTACGTATCTCTCCTCCTGCTCCACAGTGAGTGTTGAGGAATCTGCCTCCTGGGCTCTAGAGGGAAGTCTCCATACAGAAGCTTTTCAAGGGGACTCTCGAGCTGTCCTTGAAGACCATGGATGTTGTCACATCCATCAACACCACCCTTCTTTGGAGAGACTCCTGTTCCCTCCTCTGACATCCTGAGCCCTCCCCTGGGTGGACCTTCAGCCCAGCACAGGACAGAGCAGAAACCCAGGCTCCAGACCAGTCCCTTGCCTGCTCTCTTGTGGCAAATTATTTAGCTTCCTCTTGCCTCAGTTTCTCCGAAGCAAAGAAGTTGTGAAGGTTTGTCTGGCAGTTATGAGGCTCTGACAGGTCAGTTCGAAGTGGAGAAGGCAGAGCCAAGTGGTCAGCACCTAGGGGTGTCTCCTCCTCCTAGCCTTCCTCCAGGCCTTGAGGGAGACCAGGCCCTTTCTGTGTTCATAAACCCATTGGAGGGAGCATTCTAGAACACTGCAAGGATCAGCCCCTCCCTGCCTCTGCTCAGGGCAGCAGGCACCAATTCCAGACAAGCTGGGCATGAAAGGAGGGCCAAGGCACGGGAACCTTTTTCTCTCTGAGGTTTCCTCCTGGGCCTTGATCTACCACCAGGATGCCAGCCTTTGAGCAGGCCTGAGGACTCTCACAATGCTTTCATGGGTCCAAAAACGTAGCACTTCGGAGCACAGGGCCGGGCTTGAGAGCCCACCGAAGGGCCCCGAGCGTCGCTGCTGGTTCGTGTGGGACCCCCTGGGCATCCTGTTTGCCATGGCCACGTGGGTGCTAGTGCTGAGCTCTGCGTGGTTCCTGGTCCGGGACCTGCTTGTACCATCTAACAACATACTCTACGCCGTGACCAACGGTGTGGTCTTCCATCTGCTGGCCTCCCTGGCGCTCATGTCACACCTACGGACTATGCTGACCGACCCGGGCTCTGTGCCCTTGGGAAACCCACCCGGGCCTGACACGGTGTCCTACTGTTTCCTCTGCCTGAGTGCTGTACCAGAGAGGGCTTACCACTGCATGGTGTGCGAACGCTGCATTCGCAAAAACGACCACCACTGCCCCTGGGTCAACAACTGCGTGGGCGAAGACAACCAGAAATACTTCTTGCTCTTCACTCTGTACATTGGGCTTATCTCAACCCACATTCTGCTCCTGCTGGGCATCCCTATCCTGCTCAGCCACGCCCGGGGCGAGTGGGATTCCAGCAGCACCGTGTCCCCACCTGGCTCCATCCTCTTCCTCTTCCTAGTGGCCTTGATGGGCTTCCTCTTTGCCTTGGTGATGCTCTGCGGCCAGATGTGTGCCATCTACACAAACAAAACCACAACCGAGATGCTGTACCAGAACAAGCACTCACAGGGCAGACGGTCCATGTGGGCAAATGTGAAGGCCGTTTGCGGCTCCCGAGTCTCCCTAGCCTGGCTCAGTCCTTTTCATTCCCCAAAACGTCACAAAGCGAGGGAGCACCACAAAGCGAGGGAGCACCAGGATCCGGCCTAAGTCACTCCTAGGTGCCTGGAGCAAAGCACAACACCACAGACCTGAACAAGCCAGCTCCCTGAAGGAAAGCAGCAGGGCAGAGTAAAAAGTAATGTACCTCAGATTTTCTGAGCAAGAAAACAAGATGGGGACGCCAGCTGTTGGGGAAAACCCGAGGAAAGTGCTCCGTGTGGCCCCCCTGTGGAATTGAAAGTAATTAAACGCATCCAACCACGAATGAGTGTCTTGAGTTGGCGCCCACCCTTGTTAAATGCTGACTGTGCATGCTGAAGTAATCACGGGCTGTGAACCTTCTTTCTGCAGTGAGCCGCAGGCGAGTCGTCTGGTTTGGAACCATCTTTGCATTCCTGGAGTCCAGTTCCACTACTGGTATGGGGTTGTTTTTTTTGTTTTTTTCTCATTGTTTTTTGTTTTCATATTGTTGGATTTGATTTTAATTAGGGTCTTTGCTTTGTGGTTTATGAATATGCCCTAGCTTTATTTTTTTAATCTTTTTGTTATATTTACTTACTTATTTGGGGGATACACACATGCTGCTGGGCTTGTGTGGAGGGCAGAGGAACTGCTTGTGGAAGTCGGTTCCCTTCTTCTACCATGTGGACCCCGAGTATCACACTGGGATTATTGGGGTAATGGCTAGTACCTTTACCTGATGAAGCAGCTTGGTGGCTCAACTTTCTTACATTGACTTTATGTATTCACATTTCATTCCAGATTCCACTGGAAATGACTGGGATAGCTGGGGGTTACACTTTATGATCAGGCTGTACAAGATCAGCCAGAGGTTCCTCAGAACAGGGGGCAGAAATCACTAAATATAACTTCTGTTTTAAGGTTAGGATGTGGAGGTCCCCAGAAGCTGTAAGACGTGACAAGAGGCTCTAATGCCTTAATCTGCTGTGTGCTACCACGTGACACTTCCTATGACCAACATACCAACATCATACCAACACCAGGAAGTCTATATGGGTGCCATCTTCCAACCCTGAGCAGATGCCACCATGGTACAAACGTGTGCACATGTAACTCCATGAGGGCCCATGTATCTAGCACCACAGCAGCACAGACAGATCTGCCCTTTTATAGTTACCCCTCCCTGCCTTCACCTGAGCAAGCACGAAGACCTTCTACATCTCTGTGGCTTTGTCATTTTCAAAAACACTACGTAAGTGGAGTTATACAGCATTCCATCTTTCAAGATTTTTTTAAATTTATTCATTGGATTGTCCTGAAGATTTTTTGCCTGTGTTAGTAGTTGGTTTTTAATCTATTGATAAGTATGATCAGCACTGTGGATCTATTGCAGTTTGGTCTTTTGTCCACAGAAGAGCTTTGGGGTTTTTTCCTAGTTTGGATCTGTCATACGTACACCAAACTGCCCTGGACATTGTGTGGAGGTTTGTATGTGTGTACATTTCTATGTCTCTGGCATCAACACCCAAGGTCACTCACTGGTCCCAGGATGAGACATGTTGAAGCCCTGCAGTGCCTGTTTCCTGTGTCATTCACACCTTATGTTGCTGCCAGCAGATATGAGGGACATGTCTTCTCCACGCCCTCTCAGCCTTCACTGGTAACACCAGGCATTTCATCTTAGCCATTCTCGTGGGTGTGCGGTGGCAGCTCAAGCAGTTTCCATTTGTGTTTCTCTACTAACCCTAACGACTCTAAGCTAACTTAGTTTCTCTACTAAGCTAACGACGACGAAGCTAACCCTCTTTTCCTGTGCTTGTTTCCCAACTGTATACCCCTTCAGAGAAGTATCTCTGTGACTTTTGCCTGTTTTCTAGTTGGTTTCGTGGGTATTTCTCTGTGCTTTGTGTAAGACTCCCAATGGCCTCTGTGAGTTCAGTCACTCCAGCCCATATGCTGACGGGCTGTCTGTCTCTCCCGCTGGCTTACTTTGGCACAGTATCAGATTCACTCTGATCTGGGGACTGTTCCTGGTTTCTCTAGTATCTCCATGGTCCCGGTTTCTGTCCCTCTGCACACAGCCCTCTGTCTTGGTTACTGGCTGTTGCCGCTAGTAACATCCAGTGGGATGATTCCTCCAACTTTCTTCCCAAAAGTGTTGTAACTCTTTTACATTTTTTTCATTTACATTTTAGAGTAAGCTTTTCTAAGTGCAGGTAAGTAAAGAAATCTGCAGGGAATGTTGATAGTACGCAGGGGTGGGACTGAACTAGACACTTCTGTGCCTTCTGCTCCATTTTGCTTTGAACCTAAAATGTCTGTGAAAAAAAAAAAGATGAAGCGATGGAGAGATGGAAAACCTGATGGTCCAAGTTCGATCCCCGAAACCCATATAAAAAGCTGGCTATACCATGGCTCATATCTGTAATCCCAACTGAGACAGGAGGTAGAGAAAAGAAAATTGCCCAGAAGCAGAAGTACATGGGCCAGCTATCCCAGAGTATGTAATGCAGGAGAAGCAAGGAGAGAACCAGCTCCTGAAAGGTTATCCTCTGACTTCCACATGTCCACTATGACACACATGCACCTGCACTCATATGCACAAACATGCACGCATGCACACACATCATAAAAAGAAAAATTGGTCTGGAAAGATTGCTCAGTGGTTAAGAGCACTCATTCTTACAGAGGACCTGGGTTAGATTCCCATCACCCACATGGCAGTTTATAACTGTCCATACCTCCAGTCCCAGGATGCATATGATATGCATACAAACATATGAAAAAAACACTTGCCGGGCAGTGGTGGCGCACGCCTTTAATCCCAGCACTCGGGAGGCAGAGCCAGGCGGATCTCTGTGAGTTCGAGGCCAGCCTGGTCTCCAAAGCGAGTTCCAGGAAAGGCGCAAAGCTACACAGAGAAACCCTGTCTCGAAAAACCAAAAAAAAAAAAAAAAAAAAAAAAACACTCATACACATAAAATAATCAAAAAAATGTTTTGAAAGAAAGTCACAGCAAGCAATAAAAAAAACAACTAACTAGCTAGGTGTGGTTGTTCACTCCTTTAATCCCAGCACTCGGGAGGCAGAGACAGGTGGATCTTTGGGTTTGAGGCCAGCCTGGTCTACAGAGTGGGTTCAAGGATAGACAGTGCTATAGAGACTGTGTTTTAAAGTAGCAATAACAGCAACAATAATATGATAATAATAAATAACATTTAAAATAAAATTATGGGAAGTGGGGGAGAGAAAGAGAATGTTGGAAGCAGAACCAAGGAAGAAGAAAAAGAGGGGAGGGACTTTGCTGGGTTTAGGGGGAAGCTGGTACCTAAGCTACACTGAGTCTTCCTCTCCACAGCCTGGTGCTGTCCTGTTCATCAGTGTTTAGGGGCTCTGTCATCACACTTTCAGGTGATTATACCTGAGTCTCTCCCTGTGTTCAGCCACCTGTGAATGGTAGTGTGCCTCTGTTCAGTTTCCACACGCAGCGTGTAGGGTCTTATGTGTGTCTATGTGTGCCAGGCTCCTCTCCTGCCACCCTGCCGAGCTCACAGGTTTCATCTTGGAAGGTTGTTGTGTTTTATTTCTGTAGCATCCTTGAGGCTTTCTGCGTGGATGGCTGTCCTGTCCAGATGGAATCTTCTCAGCATCTTTTCCTGTGATATGTCAGTTCAAGTCTTTTGCCTATTTTTTTTAATTGGACTGGGTGTAGTTTTTCTAGATACAAGCCCATAACCCACGGAAGACACAAATCATTGTGGTTCATTTTCAGTATGAGGTACACTTAGAGCTCCTGGGAGAATCACAGGTAAGCGAGGGGCACTAGGCCCCTGTCTTCCCAAGCTGGCTGCTGGCACCTGCTTCTTTCTATGCTCTCAGTTCATCCTAGAGTTGACTCTGCTACGTGACTGAGCCCACATATCAGACAGGGAAGGCACCTCCAACGCCAGGATACACATTAGATAAGACTTTGTGTCCTAAGCCGATAGAATTTGGGATTTGGGGAGGGGCCTCTGCTAAACAAGTGTGAAGACTGTAACTCTGTGCAGTACCAGCCTGTGGGAAAGAAGACATTTCACAGTCTGGAGCCTTAACGCTCATTGTCTTACTCTGTACTAATGACTTCTCTGTTGCTGTGATAATGACCATGACTGAGGCAACCCACAGAAGCAAAGGTTTATTTGCCTTGTGGTTACAGTGGAAGAGGAGTCCATCATCGGGGATGGCAGGTAAAACATGGCAGCAAGCAGCAGTCCTTAAGCTCTCAAAGCCCACCCCCAGTGACATACTTCTTCAAGTCAGAACACACCTTCTGAGCCTCCCCAAACATTGCCGCCAACTAGGGACCAAATGTTCAAATCCCGCTGGGGAACACCCTCATTCAAACTGCCACATGCACCAAACTGGCACACCAGCTCTGTTTGCCTTTTCTCCAGGCTGGCATCCATTTCTGAAGAAAAAAAATAAAAATAAAAATGTTTGCTTTTACCAGTCCCTTGAATTTTCTTGCTTCTCACATCCCAAAAAACTATTTGAAAAGAGCTGCTGCCTCTAGCTTGTCTTTCCATAAACGCTTTTTGTTTAGATAGGGTCCAAGAATCTTTTTCCCCCTCTTTCTGTGTCTCTGTCCAATGCTGATGAGATGCTGGAAAAAGCAAGATCACGGTCAATGTCCCAGGCTCCCATCAGGCAGGAGTATGACCTAGGGATCTGGTACAAGGCACCAGTGATCACAGTTAGTGATGATGTCCTGTATGCCTGCAAATTGCTAAAAAGAATACATTTTTAGAGGTCCTACCATAATAAATGATAAATCTGTGAGATGATAGGTATCCTAATTAGTGTGATTTAAATGCTTCATAATGCATGGTGTCATTATATTTTGCCCTGTGAGAATATACATTGTCATTTAAACAAACTTTTTTAAATATTGCTCCATCAACATTTAACTTTATTTTTATAAATTAGGCACAGTAGCAAAATTACAACTTGTAGCTGATCTTAGCAGCCGTAGCATGACTTATTTTTATTTCCCATCTTCTTTTGGGTTCTGATTTCATGTATTTTTTTAGATCTATTTATTTTAT